TATAAAATTTATTATAAACAACCCATATGCCGTTGATTTTCATTACCATATATTTATATAAACTGTTCTATATACTTTAATCTTAAAAAGTTATTAACAACATGAAACAATAACATATTTTATTTCAGAAAATGAAGGTTTTTGTTCTTTCGATATTGTTAGCGGTTGTGACGATAATCAGAGGACAAGAAATTTGTCTAGATTCTAAGTATCAATGCAAAGAAGGTAAGGTTTTGTATTTTTAATTCATTGATTAATTTTTTACTTAATAAATATATTAAAATTTCATGTTTAGATCAAACTTGTTGCCAGGCTAACGAAGGATACGGATGTTGTCCTATGGAGGATGCGGTATGCTGTTCAGATCTTCAGCATTGTTGTCCAGATGAATATATCTGCGTAGATCAATTTAAAATCTGCGTGAAGTATCCAGATGTGACCGGAAAACATAATTTTACAAGAAAATTAGAGCCTCTCCGAGAAACTTTCTCTTTAGTTAGCCACTCGTATTCATGTCCACTATGTCCTTTTTGGGCGACTTGTTGTTCGATGACTACAGGCCAAATAGGCTGTTGCCCTTTTTCAAATGCTGTCTGTTGTAGGAATAGGAACACCTGTTGTCCACCAGGATATAGTTGTTATTTGGCAGGGTTGTGCAGATCTAACACGGAGCCAAAGAAGATTCCAAAAATCCAGAAAAATTCAATTGCTTTATCAGAATACAAGTCGTTGGTGCGAAGTTCGGTAGATCTTGTACAGTGCCCCGATGGCAATTATTGCAATTCTGGAAATAGTTGCTGTTTGATAGGATCTAACACTTATGGGTGCTGTCCCTTTCCTCGAGCTGTATGCTGCTCTGATAAAGTTCATTGTTGTCCTAATGGTATGACATGCGACAGTTCAGGTTTCTGTACCAATGGATTGGATATTATTTCTTGGTTTGAGAAAAAACCAGCAATTAAACGACCTAAAATAGAAAGCTGAAGTTTTGAAGTTGCATGCAATTGTTTTGATTATTATTATTTTTTTGAGAGTATAAGTTTCTGTAATTAATTAACTTTCGATTAAAATGATTTAAACTTGTTTGTAATCAAGATTACAATAATGTATAGCAATTCAATTTTCGAAAATTTGATATTATAAATATTAAAATTAAAATTTGTTTCTCTTAATAAACTATTAATTACTTTCATTTACAACATGTATTTTCTTTTAGTTTATTTAAAACTAAAAACAATCTTAATCCAATGGTTTAAATGTAGAAAAATAAACTAACTAATAAAAAGGCATATAAGTACTGGTATAATATATACTGTATATCAATTCATTTCATTTATTTACAAAAGAAAATTTAAAAAGTAACTAAAAATCATATAATTTGAAATAAGCTAGATTAAATTTTTATATTAATCCTTATTTCAATTTCAATTAAAGATTGAAATAATTGATTACTTTATTAAAATTTCTGTATAAGTTACAAACATACTGGAAATTTTCATTGATTGTTGATAAATTATTTAAGAAAGTTTATAAATTTAAATTTTGCTTTGCTTCTAAACGAATTTTGCAGCATAAGTTCAATTACACACGTACCGGTATACCTGAAGGCGTGAACGACAGAACTTTTAATTGTTTTCCCACCGCACGTTCAGATATACCGGATAGATGCACCTGTTCAGGTATACCCGTACGTGTGTAGCCTGTTTAAGAATTGTTCTTGGCGGATTCTGTTCTGTTCAGAAAAATAAAGTTTAATCATATCGTTTAATCAAGATCAAGGTTATTATGTGGAGTTTATAAAAGTTTATTATAAACAATATCATTTCTAAAATAACGTGTTTGATAAAAACTAATTAAAACCAATTTAAATCGTAGAAGAACGTTAAAAATTAATTTTACGAAATGTGTATTTCAATTGATTAAAATAAATTTTTGATATTTTTTAATCAATTTTTTCTATAATGCATTAGTTTCCAACCTGGGAGGCGTGAAAATTTTTGAATAAAAAATTAATTTTTATGCCATAATATGAACAAATAAGTAAAATTTCATATCGTAACGTAAAAATTCTGTGAATGAATGTTTATTTTTATTTTTTAACATTTCTATACTTACATTTAATTCCTATTACAATAATTATCCAGAGCGGAAAAATTTAAAAATGGCGTGTGCGCAAACGTTCTGTTTCGGTAATGCATAAAACGATCGCCAGTTGCATGAAAACGATAAACTCAAATTTAAATGTCACTCGTAGATGAAGTGTCAACTGAAGCGTGTCGGCTGGGTGAGATTTTATTTTTATATTGTTTTTCTCGTGATTTTTTTCTGAAAATAAACGTTAGTATATTTTAATCAATTAGAAATTGTATTCTTCATCAATATAAATTTATATCAATAAAATATTTTTTAATTTTCAAAATAACATAGGGGCAAAGGTTATGAAGGTAATATAAAGAAACCCTTAATAAAAACATCACAGATATGCTTTAATTAGTAACAGGAGAGAGTCAACTATAAAATCTTATTAAAAAAATGGATGGAGATAGCATTAATTGACTAATGGCCTAATTACATAAAGTATCAGTATGCAATCTATGTAATCACATAAAATCAGGGCCGTAGAGAGGACTGAACTAGAGATTCTTCCCCGGGCCTGGTGAAAATTTAGGAATCCAAAGTGGTTCCTCTTCCTATAATATTAAATTCACTAACAAAAAATAAAACCGTTAAAACTGTTTTGCATTAATAATAAAGATGCATTATATTATTCTATGTATTTCGTTTGTTCAAAAACTTGGCAAAACGGGCCCACTTCACCTGTATAAGCTCCTATAAAACACACTCAAGAAAACCTTTTAAATATACAGCCGTATTTATTACATATTTAAAACGTTTTCTTGAGTGTGTTTAATTAGTAAGAAATGCAGTCTACAATGAGCTACTATAAAATATTGATAAATAGATTTGTTCACTTTATCAGCATGAAGTAGTAAGATCTGTAAACTTTACTAGATAAGTCCTTTATTTGTATAGAGAACATAAACATTAAACTTCTTCTACAAGATGTACAGTACTCTTAATATTTTATACCTCAAGTCAAGACTTTTTAGGATTTAGATAGTAATCTACATGCCCTGTACCCATAACAAATTCAATAATTAATATTCCCAGCCTTATGGGAAGATGAGTGATTAATAAATGACCATCATATAAAATAAATTCATTTTCAGAAGTAATGCCATTACCATAAAGAGTTTTAGCAAACTTTTGTGGTTCATTTTAAAACATTTCATTTGTCCCTATGGTACATTTTATACTTCTTTTAATGAAGTTCTATATTACTTTATAAAAAAGAGAACAGTTATATTCAAAAATGAGTCAGGGGTAAGCTGCGTGTTTTATGTACCATATCATATAGTATGTCTAATATTTTATTGGAATACAGTTAGTCACTTCTAAATTACTTGTTTTACATTTTCATGGCCTATTTTTATGTGCATCGTTAATCCAGCAACCCACCTTCAGCCCTTTCACGACCCACCGGTGGGTGGAGAACCAAAGGTTGAGTAACGCCGGTCCAGTTCATTTATTTTTCCACCTCTAAGTTCAATAACATACACCATTTTTGGTTAATTTATTTAATAAAACTTAGCTTTAGTTTGTGTCGCATTGCAGCGCGGCGCGACACCAGATCTATGATTTGAAGTACAATCCGTGCGTAAGGGAGGATGGAGCGAATAAAGCAAGCGTCCTGAGCAGAGAGACACTGAGAAACTAGAAATGATTTATCTGCTACGTCGAATCAAATTAGGAGCAATATAATGGACGAGCAACAGTAAAGCAACGATAACCATCATAAATCTAAAGATACTTTTTTTATATGTTATTAAACGCATTTTATAGACTTATCATGTATAAGTGCTTAAAATCAGCGCTCTGAATACAACTTGATATTATCGTTAAGCTACTACAGTATATTGTTGGCATGTAGGCAAAACAGCCTTGAGTCAAATGTGAATCACACGTGGCGTGGCATCGTGCTTGGGTTACCTAATTACAATATTCTACTAAACTGTAACATTCAAATTTTGTGCGATGAAACATATAAACAAACAGATAAACGAATGACAAAAATAAATAACCAGTACTTCTAGTAATTAATAAATGTAATTGGCGAAGTAACAACTCGATAGTCGCGGCCATTGAGTAGAGCAATGTAATGCTCCTTACTCACACTTTCTATCTAAACGAAACGATTTTAGAAATTTTAATTCGAATTAATTAAACAAAATCGTAGAAAAATCCACTAGGAATTCTCATCCGATCGACTTTTTGAAAGGGGAGATCGGTTCAAAGGCCATAAAAGTTAATGATTCGAGTACGAGTGCCGAATAATTAGCCAAAAACGGTGCCATTTTTTTTTTCTTCCAATCTTGGAAATTTAATGAGGCTCTAAGAAGATCCTCACGATCTTATCTAAGTCCATAAAGAACGTGAAGGTCAATTCAGTTTTATGCGATTGGCAATTTTTCTTCAGAAATCAACCATCCATCGACTGTAACGCATTGTTTTGACTTTCACCCTCCCCCACTAGACAAAATTTTATACAATAAACGACGTCGATCGGCCTTTTCTTCAAGCCAGACTTTTTAATGAATCATCATTTAATGGCATCCATTCCTAACAATTTTCTCCACGTTAAAAATTAATGATGCAAATGCAAATTACTTGGTGTAATGGATCCGGCACAATTCTAAATACAGTACCATTTTTACACACAAGAAGGTTATTAAAGATTTCGGTAGGCTGACCACCCGCTGGGTAACTCGCGTAACTGACGTTAAAACGGGGAGGGGGAAGGGTTTCCGTACAGTACATTGTCCTCGATTGATGATTTATCATCTGTGTTTCGACAATCGTTCACGATTGGTTTGGGACCGGGCGATAATTGGTCGGGTCACGTGACGTGTAGGACAACCTTGAGATTTATAAGCGTTTGTCACCTCGACGAGGAGGTATCTAAAAGGGATACAATACAAGATAACACAGCAAAACGGGAAGAAGCGAGAGAAACTAGTTCGAACCGCAGTTAATTACAGGATGCGGATTTTCCTCACGTTCCTTTGTACAGGGAAATTGCTTTCCGTCTGAATTCAGCAATCAAAAGGTTCGGCCAGGCGAGTTATTCTAGGAAAATCCAAAACAAAAGATGTCTTTCGCGTGCAACTTCGTCCCACGATATCCTTCAAAATACGAATCGCTGGCACTAACCACAGATTCCCTTTAGTATATTAAACTCTGTTTTACATACCTTAACTAGAAACTATCCCTCATCGATTTCTCATGTAAAAAAAGAGAAATTACACCATAGAAAAAATAAATAAATAAATAAAACGCCAGACAAATTACAGAAAATTTCACCATTTTTTTTTTAAAAATCCTTTCCAGTTAAAGGATTAATGAAGTTTCAATTTAATAGAATGGCAGCCATTTTTATATTGAAATAATGAATTGAAAAATAGAAAGCATCAGGAAGTTAAACGAACGAAGAGTGGTAGGAAACTAGGTCTAGGACATGTAAACGGGTGTAGATAGGTGGACCACGCAAATATTATCCAAGTAGGCCAAAACTATCCTACATCCTCGAATCACACTGTTGTTTTTTTTTACCATATTAAACTATATTTATAGTTTCTACCCCCCACGAATCAATGTGGGCAAATTTACTAAAGTTGAGCATTAAACTAATGATTCACCGGATAATTATCGTGGAAAATTCGTAAAAATAATAATTACTAACACGAGAATTTAAAAAAATAATAAAAAATGACGAAGAATTGAGCCAAGAAAGCAATAAAAATACATTTTTTTAAGGATAATTAAGTACAGTCGTTCAATATCTCGACTTGTTATTGTAAGGGTCTACATCGATAAAACGTTATTCTCGATAGTGTTTATTTACTTAACAGTAATTTGTTTAACGTTTCGACAGTTTACCAGCTACTGATTACCATTAAAATCTTTTTTTTTTCTTTTTTTTATTGATAAATAACGCCGTATAAAATAGTAAAATTCACTATAAAAATTCGCTAAATCATCATTCAATGTACAGGGGTCTTTAGGGAATTTTAATGTAAAGCCACGTGTATGCCAGATAATTTTAAAGAAATTTTCTATATTTTTATATTAAAA